CTAACGACATTCATCCAATAGACAAGTAAGTTAACACTTACACTCTTATCCTCTTAACTCTTAAGTGTGACCTTGAATTCTGATAAATATTTCTTTCATGCAGGCCACAATCGGAATTTGAAAGCTTTCTTAATATTGGGGTATGGTTCAAGAAATATTGCAAATGATCAAGTTGCTGATTTGTTACAAGGTTGTGTCACAATAATTCATGTAAAATAATCAAAAAATGAAATTCTCAATCATGTCATGCAATTAAGTCATTGACTGTGCCACCATGCTGGCTGAGAAAACTATTCTGAGACAGAATTCTGGACGATGTTCATGAAATTTCATTCTTGTAATATCATTTCTTGAGAATTTTAATGTCTGCTAATTGAAAGTGATGTGATTTACCCTTTTATTTTCCCACTAAAAGAGCCAATTGCTTGTTATATTTGCTGTAGATATGTACTGAGTTTACATCATAATTCCAAATCCATCTCTGCAGCAGATGTCAAAATACTTATCCATCAATCTGCTGGCCACTACTTGAATTAAATTTGGTTTCCTCCAATGTTTCATTAAATTATTGAGAGTGAATACTACCATAAATATTTCTTGATGTACTGTTAAAACTCTAGATGCTGCATATATATATATATATATATATATGAACATTTGTTTCAACTAATCATATTTAGTTGAACAATGCATGAGTAATACATGGAGGAGTGGTTGGTGAAATGCACAATGATCATTTTTGAGCTTTAGAATGCCATAAGAATTGAAGGGGAAAATGGCCGTGGTATGAACTGAAAAAATATTAACCCATTTTGTTCAACTTTAATTATTAAATGTTTGAGAGGTTTAAAAATTAAAATGTTGTTTAAAGCATTTATTTTTTAAGAATATATATTACAACACATAATATTATGAGCAAATTTATTTAGATAGTGATTAATTAGATAAAAATAAAATAGAATTTTCTAAGAGATTAATGATGTTTTTATTGCATTTTTTCAACACTAATTAGTTTAGAAAAAATAAAAGTTAATTTTAGTTTTGTCAACTCTCAATTAAAATGTTTCATATGATATTGGTATTAAAAATAAAGTTTATTTTTATAAATTTTTAGGCAAATTAATTATAAAAATGTATAATAAATACATTTTTGTATCTTAAAAGCACAAATTAAAAAAGTTCATATAAAATTTTATCAATTTATAATGAGTTAGTTTATCTTGTACTTAAGGATACAAGATAAAAAACAATTATTAATTAATAATTGTTATTTTTTTCTTTAAACATGTAAAATTTTAAATAAAAAAATAAATTTTGATTAGAATTTCAAAATAAATGAATAAAAATTAAAACGTGGCATTCATAATTAAAATAAAAGTTAATTTCATTTTTTAAAGATAAAATATAACAATAATTATACAATAATTATTTTTTAAAGTATAAGATAAATAAACCTATTTATAATTATTATATATTGTATGCAGTACAAAAAATTTAAATAAAAGTTAATTTCATTTTTTAAAGATAAAATATAACAATAATTATTTAATAATTATTTTTTAAAGTATAAGATAAATAAACCTATTTATAATTATTATATATTGTATGCAGTACAAAAAATTTAAAGAAAACACACCATCGATTAGAATAGAACCCATAAAAAGGCCTTAATTTTATATCTTCGGTAGCTATTCATGTGCCGTGGATCACCCTTGCCGCCCCTAAATTAAAATAAATGTTAATTTAAGCTTTTATTTAAAAGGTTTTTTTT